GTCCTGCTCAGCTTGGTGCACTGCCGCTCTTATTAATGCTGCAACCTATTACAACTGCCAAGTGCCAAGCCTAAAAACAGGCCAGGGTATAGTGTGTGTGTGTGTGTGTGTGTGTGTGTGTGTCAGTGGTGCTGTTGAGTGAAGGTGTTTACTCTGTACAATAGGTGCTGATTTATATAAATAATTAGATTTTTGGCAAGAGTGGAAAAGAAGCTACAGGATCAGCAATGTCAACACCCTGTGGGAACTGTGAGTAAAATAAATGAAAGTTTCACTGCAAACACCATTGACTGTCTTGGGTACAAACTATATAATTTGGCCCAAAGTCAGCGGTTGTGTAAAGGTCATTTAATAACCAAAATGGAAAGAGATTCTGTGGGGATCATAAACATGTGGCCTGAGTGTGTCAACAGGAGAAAAGGTTGAGGGGTCACTGTGATCAATAAGGTTTGTCCTCTGGGAATCATTAACAACTAATTTCAAAGTCTTACAGACAGAAATGCAGTTCTATGATAGACCTACGGACCAAGATGCCCCAAATGTGAAGTTCTCAGACATTGTCCAGTAGCAACAAAGTTCGCAACTTTCATCTCACATACATACATTTTGTAGATAAAACCTTCTGCCTAATAGTGTGAAACAAAAGATTAGAGGATTGGAGATGGATGGATCAGTCAGCAGACATCGTTACCCCATTGGCCCAACTGCAAGCAGAGCAACAAAAGGCGATCAGAGGACATGAAAGAACAATGAGACACACAGTAGGTATGATATTACAATGTGCTTTTCACTGAGATATTAATTGGACCGGGCTTTGCAGGATCACTGCTTTGTCTTTTTCTCATTAACGAAGCAAATTAAGAACTTTTCAAATCTTTGTTAGTCGGTTTAACATATTCATACTGGGTCTTTCCGTTCAGCTTGCCTCACTTTTAAATACTCTTCAGACAGAGCAGAGTCATTGTTTGCTGCTTTGGTTTTCAATGCCAAGCAGTGTGCACCCTTTGTCTTATTGTGGGAGGACTCTTTTGTTATGGAAATAGCAGTAACTTCCAACAACTGGGGGAAAGCCCAAGCACACACACCAGCTGGTAACTTTCACAACCATACAACAAATGTACATGCACACAGACACAAATGCACAACACTGAAAGTAAAACATACCCAAAGATATGAGCAGTATACATTGTAAGTACAACATGTACACAATCGCAAGCAAGCATACACATACACACACACACACACACACAGTATTCTTGCACATGGTACTATTGACAGGACTTATTGTTTGTCCTTGACATTTTTGTGTATTTGATGAAAGGGTGGTATGAAAGGGCCACGTGCTGACATGGCAAATCTTCAAACGAGGAGTGTTTTCTTTGTTCCCTCTCTCTTAGCTGACTCAAGGGCTTTCTGTGCTTGAGGCGGATGTGTTGTTAATTAACCACACGGCTGTTTGATTGAAGCGAGTGCATATAAACAGGCTTCCCACACCTGCAGTACCATTCAAGGTGTAATGTCATATTTATTGTCAGTTTCATACATGTACATGACAGGAAAGCAAAATGTAATTTCACATGAAACAGACATAAGAATGAGTGCAAAACAAGAAATACAGTAGGTGCAAAAATTACAGTAATTGTAGACTAAAATCAAAAAATGTAAACTAAAACTTACAGTATGTCAGGAAGGATCAGCTCCAACCGGCATGACCTTCTAACAGGTAAGCAGATATACAGTAGCTAATGGATGGAATGGATGGATGGAAATACTACACAGTCTTAATGGTGAGAGAGAGAGAGCACTTTTACATTAGCAGTAACAACTTGGAGGTAAACAAGGTCCAGTGTATTTTCTCCTCTTCTATCAAACATGACACACTGTTGGAATTCTGACAAAATGGTCTAATTTAAGCTGTTAAGAATTCATTAATATTGCAGCTAATTCTCACTTATAACTATGTACAGTATGGTTAAATCAATTTAATACAAACACAGGTTGTTTTTCTCCATTTCCTTTAATACGCTACCATTTTAGTTCTTCCTGTGTTTGTGAGTGACTGTAAGCCAAATACAGTATGTATTTTTAAATAACTGGATTAGTGGACTTTTAATAAAGCATCCGAACCCATAAAAATAATTAATTTGAGAGTTCTAATTGTAAACTGCATATTGTTATGGCTCAAGACTGACAACAGCTGGATAATCAGAGTGAATAGCCACTCCATTTTACTTCATTATTTAGCCTGATAAGGATAATCACCTTTATTTTGGTAAGTTACACACAAGGAATTTACTTCCGGTACAGAACCATGTTCATGTTGTCATTTTTTGTTTGGACAAGAGGGGTTATTTTGCCCTAGTCTGTCAGCAGGGACTGACACATTTGTCCTGAAAAGACTGATTTAAATCCACTTTAAACCAACCTCTATGGGGGCACTGATCTAATCTATGCTGCTAGACATCTTTTCTGGTGCTGTTTGCACTGGGAGGTGCTGCCGTTATTCTTAATCCCATCAACAAAGTTCTGATTATTTTGGGCCATTTTTTTTCAACCGTGTAAACATCAATGAACACAGCACCAGACCTTTTTTAATCACTGAAGATAATCAAATACCAAACTAAGCTGACAACAAAATGTCTTACTCTCTCTGCCTACCTTGCCTCCTTGTTTATGTTTGATATTAGATCACATGTTGGATTAAGAATGATGTTTATTTAGCCTGGTATCTCTCTCTTTCTCAGTGCATGTAAAGGCAGGAACGTGTGAAGTGATTGCTGCCCATCGTTGCTGCAACAAGAACAAGATTGAGGAGCGATCTCAGACCGTCAAGTGCTCCTGCTTTCCTGGACAGGTTGCTGGCACCACTCGGGCCATGCCCTCCTGTGTTGATGGTATGTAGCACTGTACTGTATGTACGCAAGTATATTATGCACCTGCATGCTCCTAACGGCAGAACCACACCTGCTTTTACTGGTGGTTTAAAATGTATTTATGGTGTTGAATGTCATACTGCACTTCCAGATCAGTAGCTACCTGTCATCCACAGCTTTCATTCACTGATAAAATGTTAAACTACTGGTTGACATTTACACTGTATTAGCAGTCTTCAAGCTGTGCAGTGATGTCCTGAAATATGCTGACAGTACCACATTCTTCAGCACTAATTCATGGAGGCCATGTGTGTGCTGAGTAAAGTTAAAGAGAGAAGCAGTCAACACTAGGATACGATGAAAGACGCTAGCTTTAACAGTTAATGCTATTTCCAACTGGCCCCTAACTCCTTAACGAAGCCTGTTAGCTATCTTTATTTTCCCAGAGACACAGTGCTTCTGGGAATAGAAGGATGGTGTGGACTCAGGAACTGAGGCAAAGTCTAATCACAGCATGTCAGTTAAAGAGTCTTGAGGGACTAATTTAAAACATACACAGTGTAGTTTCCTGGGGTTTATCTGATCAGTGTTCAAAATAACAATTGAGGAAGTAACATTTATTTTAGTAACAATGTTAATATTTAGTAGTGAATATGGTCTAATCAGTGGAATCAGACTATTCCAATCGCCATTGACTAAACATATATCTTATTGTTCCAAATGTGTCTTTATTGTTTTTATATTAGATTGTGGACCATGTACAGTATGTTGATATGTATTGAATTATCTGCGACAATGACATAAACAATCTAGTGCCTACTGTCTCATTCATGGTTCCATCAGTTGGATGGTATTTAGCTGGCAGGTGATTAGTGACACCCAGTCATGTGCCTAGTGCAGCCACTGTGACATGATTCTTTGTGCTTTAATTTTGCTGATGTGTTCCTTCCACCACCCCAGCCTCCTTCTTATGTGTTATTATTTAATGTTATTTTTGAGTTGAGGATCAGCTCTTTTCTGAAAATTGATATGAAAATTAATAGGACTCAAGTCGACTTTGATTTGACAGTGAAGACATAGTCAGCAATACTTTAAGGGCACTATTTTTATGTAGTGGTAGCCAAAAGTTTTAGGTGTCCAACAAACAGAAATGCATGAAACAGAATCAGACAAACTGAACTATGGAGGTGACTTTGTGTTTTTATTCTGCAATCAAAAAAATACATTTCTTTGCAATCAACAAAGTTTTGGATATTGGCCAAAGTCGCTGGCTCGTCACAGCTGTCACTCCAGCGTCCCTTCAGCGTCACTGGCCAATACAGACGCATTATTATGCTTCACTCCTCCTCACTCCATTGTATTTTAATCTGCACCATAATCAAAAGATATTGATCTGCAAAAGTTTTTGGTTTGCAACCAAAGACTTAGGCTCTGCAAACAAAAAATCTGTGCATCGAGAGAAAAACTTACAAAAGAGCAACCAAAATCAGTTTATATTTGACACTGTTCTTAGTTACAAAGAATTTTATTTTGATTGCAAAAAACTCCTTCTGGCCCTGCTTTTCTGTTTGTGTTTTTTTATTTATTATAAACAGTCTTTGTCCATTCTATTTCTTGATAAATTCAAGGAACTTACAAAGATGATGGATAGCATAAGGTTACACTGTACCCACAAGGAATTTGAAATTAATGAAATGCTTATTGTATGACCTAAATGAACTGCAAAGATATGAGAAAAAGAAATCGTGACTATTCTGAACAGTAGAATTAATTTATGATTCACCAACAAGCAAATAATTCCAATGATGCAAACAAAAATGTAACAAATATAACATGATGGCTTCTTGACCGAAAGGATAATTCAGGTGTTCCTGCAGTTGTATTGAACACTTCAGCCAATGTTATGAGAAGAAAAAAGAACTACAATTGTGATTCCCAATAGCAAATCTTATAATATGCAAAAAGTGTTATCTTTGCTTGTTTTGCCGTGAATGAAAGACTGATACTGTGCACCCAGATGTTTATTTTGGTGCTTACACATTAATGAGCTTTGTTTCACAGCAATGCTGATTTTTACAAGTGAGAAAATGTATATCCATACAGTCATAAATTTCCCCTGGCTAATGTTCCTGCATGCATAAAATCGGCATCCCGCACCCCCTGCAGCTATGACAAATGGCACTTGATGAAAATGACTGCAGACCCTGTGGTTTTGTTGTTTCTTGCTTTTAGGTGAGTTCATGTTTAGTTTGTTCTGGATTAGAATCACTTATATTACAACCATAAATGTTAGGTATAGACAGGGAAAGAATAGGGAAGTACAACTTTAACTAGATAGATATTTAGAACTCACAGCTGAATTACTTAAAACTGCCACAGATGTAACTCAACAGGTCAGTGAACATAGAAACAGGTGCCTCTATAATTTTTGTCCTCCACAGCTACATACTACATCTGAATATAATATAGTCCAGCACAAAATCACCTTTAACTATGACCCCAGTGATAAACATATAATTGAATTTATACATTTATGACAATTTCACCAAAAACTGAAACATTTTGAGCCTCACAAACACAAATGTTAAGATTTGATTTATTCTTTCAAGCATGTAAAGACAGTTGATATGTCAACACACATAATTTTACACATATCCAAGGCGTAAGCGTTGCACTGAATTGCAAACAGTTGTACAGGTGTACCTAATAGAGTGGCCAATGAGTGTACACTGGGATTTTTCTGTTCATAATGGTTCCCATCTTCGACATCTGGTTACTACAAAATCATCTGAAAAGTTCCTAGACACTACTGCAAAGTGCCACTAATCCCCCAGGAATTATGTTGCCAAATACTATTTTCTGAGTGTGTAGTTACTAAGTTGGAGTGACAGATACTTTAATGCATACAGTACATGCTAAATGTGCAATTAGCATACCTGGTAACTGGCTGTGGCAAATCCAGTCCTTGGAGTGACTGATAATGAAAGGGCATTCAGACAGTAAGAGCATTTTTCATATGTTCAAACATCCAGTCAGTCAGCTCTTACTGCGGTAATTGTTCGTTTGTTATTTTTTCTTTTTGATCAGCTTCTTGTTCTTGATATGTGTGGTCTTTCTAAGCCTTTTCCTTTTTGATGTTTGCCAAAAGCAGTCCATTTTTATCTGATTTGATGTGTTGTGAACAAATCTACTCTGAGACTGAAAAGATCACATTTCCCACATCTCATGCATATACTGCCTCCAGTTTTGGTCTTTTTATTTATTGCTTTATTTAAAGGGAAAGTGTAAATGTTCCCTGACTGTACATGTGCCAGTAAAATTCATGACTCTAATGCCTATGAAACTGGTGCATACTGTAATAATCTGTTAATGATTTGTTCTCATAACAGATCATAATTTATTTTTCTTCTACTTCTGAAAAGTTGTCAAAGGATTTTTTAGAGGAAAAACTCTATTTCTATTCTCCTGAAGGTTAACATCAGTGAGATACTGTATATGGAAAATGTCTTTAAACTCATCTTGATATGTAACAATATGTAGTAAAATGTGGCATAAAAAACATGTTTATCAAATGTTTTTAGTTACAGAAAGAAGAGATTAAATTATTAACTAGACTAGCATGAAGCCAACTGAATTATATTTGTTGTCAACTAATAAGAATTTCTAAATTTCACTACATTTTCTTTAATCAATGAACAATAAGAAATTAAGTTAGAGGATGGATGTGTTAAATTTAACTGCAAATTGACTTTGAAACCAGATAACAGATAAATATAGAGACATAAAGAAGATGTGAGTATACAGGGTTTTTGAAAAATGAGTTTTACAGAATGGCATTTAAGAAGTACAAAAACCCTTTTAAGCATGTAGGAGTGAAGACTAGAAATGGCAAAGAAAGGGCTATATTAGTGCATGTTGTGGTAATTTATTTCTCTTGTAAATGTATATGTTCACTAAGAGTAAATGCCAACCTCCAACACCATCCTGATTATGGAAATATGACCAAAAATGTCTAGTGAAACCAAAGCATGTTGCACTAAGTAAGATTTGTGTGACATATTTTAATGTAATCAAGTTTGGTTTCAAGATGGTGCTCTCCTGTGTGCAACATTGCGGAGCTCTCCAAGCCAAGTTATTTCACTTTTGTCTCTTTATGGCTTATTTGCACTGTGTTAATGCAATATTAAAGACTGCAAACATTATTTATGACCGGGCAACTTTACTACAGCTAAGAGAGTGTAGTCATCTCAAAGAGTTGGACCCAAGCACACTGGACTCTTACCCAGAGCTCACACCCTGCTCAGACACAAAAGCTGCACCCACAACCTCAGGCACAGCAGAGCGGGCAGTATAATCACATACAGAACAAGATTTTACAACAGCTTTTTCTCTGCTGCAATAAGTCTGATGGCAAATACAAAATGTGAAAAACCTGTGCAATAACCCCTCATTACCCTACTAAGTAGAAGACCATATACAGTACATATATTTGAAATTCCCCATTTTACCTGGGGGAGCTGTGGCTCAGGAGGTAGGGTGGGTCGTTTTCTAACCGGAGGATTGGCGGTTCAATTCACAGCTTGTCCTGTCAACATGTCAAAGTGTCCTTGAGCAAGACATTGAACCCCCAGTTGCTCCCGGTGATGACAACGGTGTGTGAGTATTTGTGAGTGCAAGTGGGTGAATGGCCAAATAGCGTGAAAGTGCTTTGAGTGTGCTGCAATGCATAGACAACTGCTATACAAGTTTAAGACCATTTACCTGCTATCTTATTCCTGTATCCACAACTATATCAACTATTTTGTAAAATTGGGTGATCTTATATTTAGGCAAGGTGTTCGTTCTTTTGGCTTTAAACTCTTTACTTGACTCCAGGAGAGCCCTGCACAAGAATCCCTATATGCCTAGACTGTCTGTTTATGCATAAATGGCAAATAAAAATCTTGAATCTTGAATCTAATGCTGATGAACTCATACTGAACCTCACAGCAGTTCTGCTCTAATTGCTTGTGTTCTCAAAGAGATCATTTAAGGCTTTTGCCAAGGTCTTTGAGGTCATCATATAAATTTACATTTACATCACGTACGATGTCAGGAAGTCTGTTTGAATTCACTTGCTTTTATGCATATTCTCAATTTGCTCATTTAAAAATTGAGTAGAAATGCCAGAAATGTGAAAAAATGACAAATGTCAGAGTATTGCAAGAGCTGGAAAAACTGGTGTAAGCATGTGCATGTAAGCAAAGTGCAACAAAGTGAAATAGAAACAGACTTGGAGAATAAATCATGATGTACATGAAGCATGTCACTTACATTTCCTCAAGCTTCCAAAGAAGAGGTGAAAAAGTGTGGATCTGTATGAACTCATGAGCATACTAACATTTCAGAAATTAATAATGAAACAACAGAAATGCTGTGTTTAATCACATGGTCCACACTGTTTTTATTCACTCAAGGTTTGACTGGTACTCTTTTAATTACATCTCATTGCATCCTCTCCATCGGCAGTGTTTAATGGTACCCAACTGGAAAATGAAGGGCTTCCCACTGTTTATCTCAATGACCCATCTCTCACTATTCACACAAGAGTAGTTGATGAAAGCTATGTAATGTACATATGAGAACACAACAAGTCATGCCTTTAACAAACTATGTATCTTCTTCTCCAGCCTCCATTGTAGCCCAGAAATGGTGGTGTCAGATGCAGCCATGCATGGATGGTGAGGAGTGTAAGGTTCTGCCAGACCTTACAGGATGGAGTTGCAGCACAGGCAACAAAGTCAAGACCACAAAGGTTAGTATGCACACAATCCTTTTATATTTGTACTTCCCTCTCTCACATGCACTCTACCCAACTTGTACACTTCCACCTCCACTGTCATCTCTCTCTTTGCTCTTTCTCCCTGATGTTTTGTCTGCTTTCCTACTTCTTTCTCCTTTTCACTGTATCTCACTCTTTTCTCACCCAATTTCTCTTTATTTTTTCCTTCCACCACATCTTGGGTCCGACATCAAACACTCTGAAGAAAAACAAGGCCAACAGGAGCAAGGCCAATGACACACACACAGAGAAAGCATCATGATTCCCTTTACTCCCATTTGCCCTCCTTCTGACTGACATGCCATCTGACTCGATGCAAAAACAATTCACCACATTGGATACAGTAGTGGCAAATGTTGGCAGATAGTTTATTGCTCAGATTTGCCCATAATACAATATTTGTGGTATGTACATGTTCTTTGTTCCCTGTATTTCCTGCATCATTTATGTGTGTGTGTGTAGATAGGTGTGGATGTACCTTAAATATTTTTCTACTCTCCATCTGCACCTGTTGGCTTCTCTTCAGTGGCTTGTCCTGAGCTGATTCTTAGCTATCTGTCATAGCAGGGAATCTGTATGAGACTCACCACTTGTCAATTTATGTTTCTGTTTCTAACCTCCATCCTTCTCTCTGCGTTCTCACTGTCCATTATTCATGGCTGGGTGCAGACCTTTGTTTTCTGGCTAAATAATTGATTGAAGGTGTGGTCAGAGGCAGAAGAGTGCATCTCCATGGGTAAAAGAGAGGAATAAGAAAAGCTTAAGACACAAGTGGTCTCCTGTCTCTTTCTCTAATACACTCAGAAAAAGTCTCCTATGCACCAGGCTGATTAAGAATTCCTTCCCTCCTTTTTCCTCTGCTCACCTCTCACCTAGCAAAGTGGATTTCGCCCACACTTTCGCCCCCCAAGTCCCCTCTTTCCTTCTTTAGTCCCTCTTCTCTGCTGTGCTGGCCCCAGCTTAAATTTGTATTACACTGCTCAGAAGTGTAACTGAACTTTTCAGATTCACTGCCCACATCACAGAGAAAGAGACATTGAGAGACAAATAGAAAATGACAGAGCAAGAACAGGCAAAACTGAGAGACACTTGAGGGTTGATATGAAGGTGATCCAATTTCTGAATGCTGTTCGGAAGTTGCTTCATACATGTTTATCTCATGCGTTTATTTTTATCAGTCTCAAAGAGCGCATTTATAATCTCTGGAATACGATCAAAGCAAACCAATTTCAGCTAGACATTACTTTATCATCGACTGTGTCTTAGTTTAAAAGAGCACAAATATTTGCTGTCTCTTGCATTCAGGTCTTTGACCAATGATCTGCGTGTGCTTGTGTGTGTGTACACTGATGTGTTTGCCTGATGATGAAAAGAGTGATTTCTTTTTCCCTCTTCTGGTGTGGTACACTGGGGTCAAGATGTGCAGGCATCTAGATCAATAGCATCGAACGTTCTCTTATAGTCCCATTAAGACGCGCTCGTAAATTGAAATTGACGATAGAGTGAAAGAGAAAGAAGATGAAGGAGAGACAGAGAGCGACATGGGGAAACACAGGTGGAGATGGATGAGAGACAAAATAAGTGGAAAGTGGAAAGGAAAGGCTGAAGGCAGAGGTGATATGTAGATAAAAGGATAAAGAAAACACTCAAAAACAACAATAGTGGAGCGGGTCAGCTGACAAAGAGCCTGTACTTGTGCCTGGGTGCATAGAGCAGGCAAGAACACAAAAGAGGGCTTGGCAGTTTCTCTCCTTTCCTTCATCCCTGGCTAGGGGCAGAGAAAAGGAGGAGAGGAGGAGGGCAGGGGGAGGAGAGAAGGAGGGGATAGCTGACAGCTCGATCAGTTTCCAAATATCATATGGATGAGCAGACAAACAAGCTGGGTTGCCAAGGTGTCATAGACTGCAAGGCAAGTGTTTGTGCATTTGCATAGATGCACATACAGTCATGTACACACGTTAACAAATAAATGACAATGTGTCAGCAGTGAATGAATGTTTCACTTCTGATATAGCTAGCTTTTATCAACACTAAACAGATGTGGCACTCTGTGGCAGTAGGTAAAATATTCTGCAAGAACTTCTCTCCATAATAAAAGCAATTCAAAACCTATAAAACACAACAAAAAACAAATCAGGATCAAACTATTTAAGTAATGACTTCCATAATTTACTTTTCTATGCCTAAGTGAGTCATAAAGACTGTGTAAAATGTTGGAATGAAAGGGACATCTGTCTTGTGGCAGTATGAGCAGCCACTAGTGTAGACCATTAAAGCTTGTGGAGTAAGCAATAGGAAATGTGGCTAGAAAAAAACAAACATATGACACTCAAGCACTGCTTATGTGTATTGTAAATTGAGGTCTAACTGTCTGAATCCACTTTCTAATTGGCCAGAAGAATGCCACCACAGGCAAAGGGATGAACACCTAAAGAAACTTTGACTTTGCACCTTAAAGACAATGAGATGCAGAGGTGCTTAATGTACCAGCATGACAACAAACACCTGCAGACTCTTTGATCAGGCACAGGAATAGATGCCTGAAGGCAGTGAGAGCAGGCCCAGGAAGAGTAGCCTGCAGCCATCGAGAGCAGATACAGTAGAACAGTAGAGCAGTCTCAGCTGCCAGCTTGGAGGAAACGCTCCTCTGAGTTCTGTCTGTGATGGCTGTGCTTCACACTTTGTTAGCTGCCACCCAGGTCAGACAGCAGACTGACTCCCTTAAGAGGAAGTAAAGGAGGGACAGCATGTGTTGGGGATAAGAGGGGAAGCCTCTGGGAATCACAGTGAGCGAGAAAGGCATGTAGGAAAACGGAAAAACAGTCGTGGAGAGTCTGCTCTATTACATGCCCAAGCACTGGCAGTAATTTGTGTCTGTTTGGTCACCGAATGATAGAAAACGTCTCCTAATGGCTTGAAATAAACCAAAAAATAAGAGCATGAGCAAAGAAAATAGAAAGATGGATTTCCGAGATAAAGAGGCCATGTGATTAGAGCAGCCGTCTCCACAAAACCAATGAAATGGCATGGCAGTGGGCCAGGCACTGAGAGGAAGGCACTGTGGGCTGACTGCCATGATTCAAGCTGGGTCTTCTTTATTCTTTTGCCAGAAGAGACAGAGGCTATGTTAGCCTCGTTGCCACTGCTGTACCAACAAAAAATCACTTTTCATTATTCTGAGACTGTATTATTTAAAACCGTTACCTCAAATGTATTGCCAGCGCTGGATTCCTCTGTTCTTTGACTGTTTCAGGCTACATCCCAACCTTTTTTCTTTTTTTGGGAAGGGGGTTTATTTTGAGTGACTAACTTTTTTTCTTTTCTCTTCTCCTGTTTCAGGTGACCCGATAGTCCTGCCCATCTCAAGAAGAGAAGAAAATGGTGGTGGATGTACTTACACAGCACAATGGACCTATCAGTGGTGAGGCAATGCACTTAGACAGATTTCTATGAGGGACCAGTACTTATTTCATTTTTCCGTGGATATCTGAGAAATGGCGGTTGAAGAGACAGGACTCTTGCACTGCCTCACCATCACCCTTAATGCAACTGAGTCTCCTTGGTCCTTTAGTGCAGAGGACGACATCACCCACAACCCTTTACTGCTACTAGAAATAATAACTTCAACAAAGTGAACTTTGACCTAAACAACACTGGATTAGATGACTTTCGTTACAACAATCTGTATTCTTCATCTCTCTTCTGTGGCTTAGTTGTGTTCCACTTGCATACTGGGAATAATGGGGAAGTGGATTTTAGACAGCTATCCTATATTACAAACATCACTACAAAAAAGGGAGTGAATCCAGAATGGCTGCCTCATGTATTCTGGATGACACATTTAAGTTTAACTGTGCCACATATGACGCACTCGAAGCTGTCAAAACGCTCTAAAAACTGAACCTTTTCTTTTTTCCCCAGATTTCACCTTCATAAGAATATTTTACCTGGAATAGATTGTGGCTTACCACATGCCATTTTTTAAAATGGGAAGACAGTTTGTCAGGTTTTTTTGTTTTTTGACAAAGGATAAATTCTTCCAGGGGTGAGGTTAGACTAATTCCAAGTAGATGTTATGGTATATTGAAACATGTAAACGTGTAAAAACAAATGGTCAATGGAATCCACGGGGCTAAAAGTAAATTGATGCTCTAATGGTTTTAATATCTGTGTTTTTAAATGCCTGTTAACCGCTATTGAGTACATGTGTCAGTATTATATGAAACAAATAAAACCTTTCAAAACAAATAAGACATCTCTCCATTGATTCAGCCTTACAAAGTAATCTCTGAGAACATTCATCTTAAATAAAGGGTCTTTAAGGGTTGTTGTCTTTAAGTGCTCCAGGTTAGGACTGACAGTATTCCGCACATTATTTACTGTACAGTGCACAAAATTGTGATTAATAAATCCATAGGACTGTATTGTTTCATGCACAAATAATCTGCACAGCTGTAGGCATTGTTGATAACAGAGTGAATTAATTTCCATGAAACCTTGAAGCAACAGGAAACTCAATTTTGTAAATAGTGGTGTTCACTGCATTGGCTCCGAGAAATGTCATCAGTAACTGTTCATTCCTTTTCTGTTGTTGTTAACATTTTTGTAAAAACTTTTATTTAATTTGATCATCTTTGTTTTCTGCTTCAAACAAATGCCTTTGCGCATTGCCAGCTGATGTCATAGAGAAAGAAATCGTCCTTGGGCATCGCCTGGGATGCGATGTCGTTCATCAGCTGGTTAGAGTTACAGTGCAAGGAGAACCGTGTACATCTAGCTCACTATTGAATTTCCATGTATATGAGGAAGAACAGGGCCATTTGTATGCAACACATTTCAACCAGGACATAAAGCAAACTGGGAGGTTTCAGTGCAGGATATTATGAACCATAATAAAAGAACCTTTTCTGACATTTTGTGGAGCTTGATCAGCAGGTAAGTTTTTCCACAGTGACTATGATTTAGCAGTGATACTATGTGTGTTACTGTGGCTTCGCACATTTTACAGATGCAATTGAAGCTTTGGGTTGCCATGTTCAAACAACTATTTCCACTATCATTCAGTAGGTTCCCTGATTGTGACTGATAGTTAGGGCGCAGCGCTCTGGGGTTCGAGTCAGGGCTGCGTCAGGAAGGGCATGCGACGTAAAACACGTGCCAAACGTCAACATGCAGATCATCAGTGTGATGATTCGCTGTGGTGACTCCTAATGGGAAAAAGCCGAAAGTGACATTATCATTCAGTACACCATATTTTGACAGACTCTACTACTATTTGTACTACGTGTAACAGTCCACTGCTTTACTAGATTAATTAGAGGATTAGATCCTGAGTCAACTCACAGTTTGTCACTGACATCACTGCCTTTTTTAGCTTCATCATTGTACATAGAACAATACAGGTGTTTTGTTTCTGAATGAATAAATGAATACTTTATTAAGGACTAAGAGTGCGTTTTTTTCTTTAACTAACTATTAAGCACCGCTGGCATGGAATTACGTAAACTACCATGGATCAGAAACCTAGTAAAGCACACAGCACATAGCACAAAAATTCTGTCTCTAGCAAAATTCAAGTGCTCAACTGCTATAGAAAATGACCAAACCACAACACTAACTGTGATAGAAATAGAGACATTTGATGGAAAGGGAGGGCAGTGTGGCGCTGGACAGCATAAGGCAGGGCAGAGCAGCTCAAGTCCATTAACTGCTTCGATGCTCTCAGCTCCAGCGCTGTCACTGAAGCTGGAAAAACAACTTCTGAACCAGATGCTGGCACAACCTCCTCTACTGCTGCATAGTATAACAGATGCATATCCATTTACAGGCTAGAGAAAGGTCTCTCGCAGCTTTAAGACAGGTATTAAGATGCTCTCATGAGCACTTCAACTTGGTCACATTACATAAAATAAATATGGCTCTTTGTCAGAATAAATTTCCTCACATTCACTTCCACTGGATGAATTAATGGTACACAGAAGCCTAATGCAAATCATGGATCAGCATTACTAACTACTGCCTGTTATGAAGTTCTGAGTCATACAGTACCACATGAGTCAATCACCATATATGTGTCCAGTTGGGTTATGTATGGTACACCAGAATGAAGAGAAGAAGACACCGAAATACACTAGGACAAGCTACATGAAGCTGAGAGTTGTGCTTTACTAGAGGTGTTTTTAAAACAACTCTTTAATGGTGGTTACTAAGTGGTTGGGTTTGTGTATGTGCATCCGGTTTGTTTGCTCACCTCTGTTAAAATGGAGCACGCAGTAGTGTCCCAGCAGTTTCTGCGACATGTATCCAAACTGTCTCAGTCATAAACGGGGCTAGTCCTACCTTTGTTTGGCTGTATATGCAAGTCGTTATATGTTTTATCAGTTTCCTTTCTGCCCATGTAATTTCTTGAAACAAGAAAACTTAAATGCTTCCACACAACAGATCTAAAAAGTTGATAATGGAACATCCGCTATGTCAGTTTCAAATTCTGCAACTGAAAAAGTTGCAAACCAAATGTTGGTCTTGAGGCTGTGGACATCTATCTCTTCTCTCCGAGACACACACACATATACACTATCTGTGTTGTGTTGCATTAAAGTTGCCTTTCGATAAAACGCTTTTCTGATTTGGCTAATCTCCTCAGGGGCCACGGCCTTCTACTGAACCACAGTAACTTTGTGTGCATATATATGTGTGTGTGTTTCATGGCCTGGGCTCTTTCTGAGCCTCAACGCATGATTAGTGCATTGCATTAAAAGATTACAGAGTATAAACCCATCTCAGACACACACGGGAAGTGAGAAAGAGGAACTGGCAGCTATAATTACAGAGAGAAAACTACGTAAAAGGCTTTTGACATCAGAATATTACAGTCTCAGGTTTTGAGTATTCTTGTTAACTGCTTGGAAGGTGTTTCTCAAGCTGCGCATGAATCCAATCATGAGTCAGCTATGTGTGGATTGTTGAAATTCTTCCATAGCACCCTAACACCAACCCACACACACACAGTTACACAAAACATTTTACACTGGTGCTGGAGCAAGGTATCAGGTGTATCTCAAACAGTCTCCTTATATCTGTCTCTGGCAGTATTGATCTTCAGCCTTGCTGCTAAGAATTAATCTCATCATCTGTGACTATGCTCTGACTATCTAGATGATGCTGAGATTAGTCAGTGTGCTCTCTGGTTAGCGGTCGCACTGAAGTGGTCGCTGCTAACAACAGATGTCAGAACAGATGCTACGGCCGACCGAACGATGAGACAGGCTACTCTAGATGCTGATGAGTACTGAGATGATGATTAGAGGAAAGTGACATACTGAAGGTGACATTGCACAGACCTGCTTAACTGTGCCTGCATGTTTGCTTCACAGAGTCAAAATGAAATCAGAACTTTCAGAAGTTGAAAATCCTAATTCAAAATTCAACTGACAGTTGTAAAATACCTACAAATCCTGCACTGCAGCAGAGCTTTTACATTTTTTTTTTGACAACAGCAGGGACAGTTTATTGTTTATAACCTGCAGGAATTTACCATTAAATAGAAACTTTGAACATTTAATCTTGCTTTTTTCTTTTAAACCAATAGTTCCTATTTAATGTTAAAAATTCAAATGTGCCAATATATTCACACACTCTCTCATCTAGCTGGGATGATGATATCCTCAGTGACTTGTTTATTTAACAATAGTCTTTTAAAATTTAAACAATATAATATATAAAATTAGACATAATATTTGTTCTGTAAGCATAACACATGTTTTGTAGTCAGGAATACATAGATACAGCTTTTCCCACTGAAAATTCCGACACCTCAGTTCAGGTACTGATCTGATAAAAATCCTTTCTTTTTTCCAAAATTTAAATCTGTCCACCTCAAAGTGTGGAGCTTATTAAAATCATTTTTTAAGTAAGGTATGGTCAAAGATCCAAGGTTACTGTGACCTCACGACAGGTTGTCTTAATCCTTCTCTTGGCAACAAGCTGCCAATCTGCCAAGTGAGGGTGAGAATGGCTACCCAAGATGCCCCCCCCCCATCACTGCCACAGCACTAGCCTTCCATAACAACCTGATGAGAGTGATGACCTCCATTCTTGATGTGAGCACTGACTGCTACAGACCTACAGAAGATCCACAGGAGCTAACGCACACACTAACCTGGATCGTTCTATTCAAATAAGTCAGGTCGCAGTGTTTTCAGATATATATGCTGTTCTTCAATTCTGGGAATTTTGTTAGAACTCGCTCTTCTGTCACGTCAATGCTGCCTGTTTATCACTGACTTGATTTGATTTGATTTATTGATTTGATTTATTCATTCAAGCATGTAAAACAGTTATGTCCACACATGTAATTTCACACATATCCAACAATAATAATCCAATATCAATTTGCTTATACCTAGTACATGCTTGAACGGAGTAGGAAGAAGTCAGACTTTTCCAGTTCTACCCCATGACATCATCTTACCATCATTGGTTTGCAAGCAGTATCTCTACATAAATAATTCTCTTCTACACCACACAAGTAATATACTAAAAAATTATAACAGAGTTAACATTCTTACATAATCACATTCTTAAATAATTATCTTCTACACCACACAAGTAATATACTAAAGAATTATTACAAAGTGTTAACATTCATACACCACACCCACAATGTTCCATC